GGAGCCCAGGCAACCTCCTGGCCAGCCAGCAGAGCTGGGGCAGACACAAGGGTGTTTCCTCTTAATCATCCAGACTTGGTCCTTCAAGCGAGGGATGGGCTAAAGAGGCCAAAGTCTGAATCTGAGAAATTTAAACCATATGACGTTTGGATCTGTGCTCAGTTTCAAGTGAGCTAAGTAAGGGGGGAAGTAAGGAGCAGGAACTTCTCCCCTTCTCTCAAAAATTGCCCCTCCTGCTACTCCCTTCACGGCAGAGGCCTGACACTTGGGGACACCTGGTTGGGGACATCCACAGCAGCAGATCACTGGGACTGGCTGAACTTGACAGCGACAGGGGTGGCACCTCAGAGGCTCAGACAGCCCTCTGGCAAGAAACAAGGGGATGGTCCACGTGGGGGATTAACTCCTCGTGGCTCAGGGGTAGGCTGATGTGCATGGCACAGCTTCCTGGGTGTACCTGGCCTCCCGAGGCAGAGCTGTCCTTCCCCAGCAGCTACACTGCTGCTTCAAGAGGTTCTCAGGGAAGAGAAACGTGCTGACAGGCTGGTGACAAAGGGACCCCCTTCTCCATCCTGGGTGCTTCTCTGAGTGTTCTTTCTTTGGATCAGTCCTTGCAGCAGTGGGTGATACCCACAGTCTGTCACTGCCAGGTAAGTTTTGGCTGCAAGGACCCAAGAACTGCAATGGACACAAGTCTATAGGGTGGAAGCAACAAGAGGAGGGGTGGGGGTGAGTTACAGTGGCAGAAAAGCCACAAATTGAGAAGAATCAATGTGAAATGGGAAAATCGGTTGAATTTCAAGGGAGAGGCAGGAAGCAGAGTTCATCCCCCTGCAATTGCCAGCCCCAGACAAGAGACATTTAGACCAGCTCCTGCACACTGGCCCGGGTACCAAAACCCAGAGAACACCCCCACAAACAACCGCTCAAAAGCCACAAACCAGCAGAGGAGAAGAGCAGGACCTTGGACCTGCAGCAGCTGCCAATTTAAGAGGAAATGCAAACACTGATTACAGCCCAGGTCTCTTGCCAGTGAGAAAGGGAATGAGCCTCAACCAAATCATCCCTTCTGGCTGGAGGAGGAGGAGGAGGAGGAGGGTCAGATCCCTTCCCAGTGCCAAAGCTGGCAATCAACCTCATCCCCAGCCAAGCAGCCGTGCTCTGTGCTCCAGCAGTCTCCATTCATCATCCCATTTTCTCCCTGCAGTCAGTCTCTGATGCCTCATGAGATTAATAAACAAACAACTAAATCAATAGAGTCATCTCGATCCCCGCAGGCCACAGGCGGTGAATAACTTCCGCCTGAAAGAAGGATCAGGGTGTAAGAGAGGCTCCCAGGAGAGAAGTCCAGCAGCTCAGCTCTCAAAGGTCCTAAAACTAACCCGCACACACGCAGGGGAACAGTTCAGCCGGGCA